TGGCCAAGCCCAGGGACTAGCACCAGGAAGTAACAACCCTGGGATTCCTCCTTTGAAACTAAAAGTTAGGCTTTGTTGTGTAAAAAGATCTTATTTTCTCAGATTTTGTGCTTTGCATTTTAAATATTATTGAGTTTTACAAAGTCTCTTGACTCCATGTGTAAAGTTCTAGAATCCACTTGCGCAGAATGTTAGCAAGTGAGGAATCTGAGAATCCTGGTGTTATAAAGCCCAAACTTTCACAACAGGAAGAAGGCAGGCAAGTCAACAACTTTCCCACCGAAAACACAGTTACTCCTAGACAGGGCTCCCGTGTTGGTTCCTGCAGTGGATGCTGTGTAGCAAATGGAAGCCAGCAAGAAACAAGGAAAGGGATTTCAGCCACACTTAGCCTCCATAAAAGTACCATGTTAGACTCTAACAGTCGTGGTCAGGCTAACTGAAATCAGAAGATCCTCAGTCTTTTAATGAGAAATGTTACTCTTGAGCTGCTTTTGTAAAAACTTACATGACAGGCAAAGCACAAACACACACAGGCAGAGAGCACGAGTTCTGTTTCACATCCATGGTAGCTGGGGTTGGACCAGAGGCTGAAGCTCTGGAACTCCGGTTTCCTCCATGGAGTGCAGGAAGCTAATTAATTAAAATGAATATAAATACAGGCATTTAGTATGTACCTTTTTGTCCCTACATCTTTCCACTCAGTGTATTTTTTTTAATCCATCCATAATAGGCCAGCAATATAACGAATAAGTTAAGCCTCTGCCTTTAGCACCAGCATCCCATATGGGCGTCATTCCAAGTCCCAGCTGTTCCACTTCTGACCCAGTTTGCTGCTAATGCACCTGGGAAGCTGGCACAATGTTTCCCAAGACCTTGGGCCCCTGCACCCACATGGTAGACCCAGAGGAAGCTCCTGGCCTACAACTGGTCCAGCTCTAGACATTGCAGCCACTTAGGGAGTAAACCAGCAAATGGAAGATTTCTGTTTCTCATTCTCTTGCTGAAAACTTGAAAACTTTGGATGTTGTATGAGATGCTGGCTTTTGTATACATCTTATCCTGCCTGCAACTTGAAAAATAAACAGTAAAAATGAATGTAGTTTTGGAAGAACAATGGAGGTTGGAAAGTGTGCTCAGGCCCATGATGGGTAAATCTGTACTGAACTAAACATGTAACAGACTTCGGTCATGTCACTACTCACTGAACAGTCCTGGATAGCAGCTAAGATACTGAACATGTCCACCAACCCTAGAAAATGGCTCTTGTCCCTCCCCAGACAGTTCACCTCCTGGTCTGATTTCACAACTTCATTTAGATGCAGTTAGGCAGTGTGTATCCTTTTGTCTCTGGCCCTTTCACTCAGCCTAATGTTTTTGAGATCCATACCACAGAGTGTCTCATCACGTACTCCTTTTCTATTGTGAAACCGTGGTCTGTTGCTCAAATAGGCCACTGCTTCCCACTCCCAGTCCTGCTGATGTGTTGAAGGATACCTACACTGTTTCCACATTGACATTCAACAACAACAACAAACTGTGGGCCAGTGCAGGCTCTGTCACGTTGTCCAGTATAAAGAAGCTTTGAGAGTTGGGTTTTGATTCTTCTGGGATGCTGTCTACCGGTGACACTCAGTTTTTCAGGAATCTTCCTCCCCTTAACAGTAATCCAAGGAAATTCTAGTACCTCAGACACTGGAGGGGAGTGCAGGGAGTAATGTGGAAGATGGGCAGGGCTGCATATTATACAGGCGTAAAAAGAGAAAAGAATAGCCTGACCAGCTTCAATCTTATGATGAAAAGAATTAATACAGTGGGAAGGGCCAAGGAAAGGAGAGAGATATGCAGGAAGAGAAAAATGAAAAATGAAAAAAGGAAGCAGTTAATGCTGAACCACTGATTTCAAAATATTATTTGGGGCCCCATGATAACTGTTATAATTACAGCTTGATAGCCATTGGACTTAATCTTTTCACTTAGCATCACTTAGGTTTGATGTAGGTCCATCTTTTGTCCCAATTTTAGATACGGCACAAAGATAGTACTAAAAAGTACATAAATAGCTACAGAAGACATGCACAGTGATATTAAAAACAGGAAGGTGTTAATTGTTAAATGGTCAGTGGAGCTGTGCAACTCAATAGCCCGAATGACATGTTGGCTTTCTCTTTCCATTAGTCTTGGCAAACTCTTAATGCATAAAGTCTGTTGGTGTTCATTGACTCTGGAGAGTGCGTGCTTTTACCTGCCAGGGAATTCCTAACCAGCTGCTTGATTGTAATTTTATAAATGGAGTAACTGAACACCAATGCTTGATAACAAAGAAATGGGGATTAGGTATTTTGGATATACTGTTACCAACAAGTTTGGCCCACCTCCATGTAAACCAAGGATTTCCTCGGGGAAGTGAGTGGTTTCCAATGGGATCTCAAGGAAACTGCTCTTCATGCTCTCGTGGTCTTTCTGAGTGCTGTCTTCTTGCTGCCCAGGTGTCCACCACCACCACCCACCCACCCACTGCAAAGTCTTTCTGCTCTGCTCCTGGGAATTAGTTGTTTCTCTGTTTAATGCACAAAGGGTAACGCAGAAGGTATTCCTCTGTGTGGAAAGAATACCCTGAACATAAACTTCGGGACACTCATTCCTAAGAAGCCCTGGATGAGCGATGGCTTCGTTTGACCAGGTTGCCCACAGTTTCACCAGAACAGTCAGCTTCCCACGTTGCTGTGCTCAGGCTGCCCTGAGGAAGTATTACAGGCTGTGTGCCTTTGGCAGCGGGAACTCCTTCCTCACCTTGAAGGAATCCAGTACGGCAGGGCTGGCATCCGGGGAGCCCTCTCTCCCAGGATTGTCCTCATGCAGCTGCTGCCAGCTATCTGTCCTCTGTACCCGCGTCCTGACACCAGGTCCCCATCCATATGATCTCAGCTTATAAATGAAACGTTTCTTTACCATGTCTTTTTATCCCAAGGTAACTCAATTTCTTTTATGCAGTTATAATTTCTTTTTAACTCATTTCTGACAAACAAATACACTCATGTAACCAGTACTCTGACCCAGATATAGAATATTTTAAATCTAGTATTATTGACAGTAATAATGAAGTATAGACGTTTTATGCAACTGCATTCGTCATGAAGTCATTTCTGGGAAACCTGGAGAACTCAACCAAGCCGTACTTTTGCTTTATCACAACACTGATCAGTCTGCAGGAGGCATGGAGAGAATGACATGTTGATTATCATTATCTACAAATGAGTAGTTTAAAATCCTCTTTTGGTTTTCCAAAGATTCTTTTTCCCCCAGAAAGCAGTTACAGAAACAGAAGAGGACACAGCAACAGAAGGGGAGAATGAGACTTTCCATGCCTGGGACACCTCCCAAGATGGACCCAACAGCCAGGTCTGGGCCAGGCTAAAACCAACAGCCCGGAGCTCCATCCACGTCTCCCATGTGTAGGGGCCAACATCTACAGCTTTCCCAGGCACCTGAGCAGGGAGCAGGATGAGAAGTACAGCAGCCAGGATTCAAACTGGCACTTAAAATGATGCCAGCACTGCAGGCAACTTGACTCTTTACATCAAACCGGCAGACCCCAAGGTTTAAAATTGTCTAGCCAGCTTTATAAGTTAAGGAAGGAAGGAAGGAAGGAAGAAAGGAAGGAAGGAAGGATTGGAGGGAGGGAGGGAGGAAGGAAGAAGAAGGAAAAAGAAAAGGAAAAAGGAAGAAAGAAAGAAAGAAGAAAAGTAACAGTTAAGCATAGATGATAAGATACGGGAGGTTTTTGTCATCTGTTCAGGGAGGAATTCTAAGCTTAAAATAATGTGGAAAACGTGAAGAAAATTGAGAATGGGTGAATTTGAAATGTAGCATCCTTGTGGAACTAACTGCTTTTAGAGAAACTTAGAATTGATCCCAGAAGGATATAGCTCACTGCCCCTTTGATGTCTTTGTAACTACAGCATGGTGCTCCGAATTGTCCATAGGGGCAGGTGTTGCTAGCAGCAGCTCAGAGGACACCCCCATCTCCTATGGCAATGTGTGGGCTCCAGTCCTGCTTCAGGGTTCCGGCAAATGCACGCATTCCGAAACAGTAAGTGATCCCTCCAGGGTTTGAGTCCCTGCCACTGCTTCACCAGGTAAACCCAGTTTAGTGCTGGCTTCTGGCTTCAGGCTTGCCCAGCTCTGACTGTTCTGGTCTTCTGAGTAGTGAAGCAGGCACGGGAGATTCATTCATATTCTCTCTCTCTCTCTCTCTCTCTCTCTCTCTCTCTCTCTCTGGTCTTCTGGGTAGTGAAGCAGGCATGGGAGATTCATTCATTCTCTCTCTGCGCACGTGCACACACGCCACGCACACACATCTTCCAATTAAATAATATTGTTATTCAGTAATTTATTTTTACAGTCAAACTTAATACGTAAAGAAGCCTCAAGGGTTTGGCCTAGAGAAGATGTTGCCGGAAACACCCTGAAGCCATAATCAGAGACCATTAAAGGACTTGGCTTTAAAAGCATTATGCAATTCAAATGTAATACTTCAACTCAGTATTTCAGGGTTAGTCTAACTGCAGGAACAATATTGTCAACGGCCCGCAATTGCTTTTCTCTTTTATATCACTCGCTACTTACACTCCCCGAGCAAGATCTGGCCTTTCTGTTCCGGAATCCAGCTCTGGGAGAGCTCACTTCAGACTCCCCGCTAACCGGCAGCGAGGGACACCAGGAAATCCGGCGGGCGATCAGAGAGCTGGGTTGTATCGCTAGCACCCTCGCTTCTGGCCTCGCCAGAGAAGCCGAGCCGAGGGGACCTGGGCGACCCATCTCAGACCTGACGTCTTCGCCCCGGCAGCTTGCCCGGGTAGCGAAGACCACCCGGGGATTCTAGGACCGAGCTGGATGGAGGGGGCGGGGAGAGTGCTGGGGCAGCCAATCGTGGCCGCCCGGGGCGTCCCGCCCCTGTCCCCGCCCTCGACCTTCCAGCCTCTAGCCCGGCAGTCCCGGTCATGGGCTGCAACGACAGGCCGCCCTAGGTCAGCGGCAGTGCAGGAGGCTGCGGCCACGGCTGCCGGGACACTGACATGGCCTCGTCGGGGCCTCCGCTGCCCCCGGCCACGGGCGCGCCCTGGCCAGCGCGCCTCTTGAGCGCGTCTCCCGGGCTGCTGGGGCTGGACGCGGGCAGCGGCGCGCTGCTGCTGCTGCTGTGCGGCCTCGCCTCACTGCTTGCCTGGAGCTGGCTGCGCTGGCAGCACCAGATGCGGGGCATCCCCCCGGGGCCCAAACCCTGGCCCCTGTTGGGCAACGTCGGTCACGTACTGCTGCCACGCTTCCTCCGGCGACAGAGCTCGAAGCGTCCCCCGACAAGGCCCGGGGGAATGAATGCCAAGGGCCTGCGTCCGCAGGTGATGCTGACTAACCTAGCACGCGTGTACGGGAACATCTATAGCTTCTTCATCGGTCACTACCTGGTGGTGGTGCTCAACGACTTTCATAGCGTGCGCGAGGCGCTGGTGCAGCAGGCCGAGGTCTTCAGCGACCGTCCGCGGGTGCCACTCATCTCCATCATGACTAAAGAAAAGGGTGAGTGAGCCCGGCCCTGGATGGGATGCCTGAGAGAGGCGTGAGGGTGCAGGTACGCAGGGCTTGCGGTTGCTGGGGTACCCAATTGACCTCACACTTGAACCCTGCCCCCACTTCCCCTCCCCGGTGCCTTTAGAAAGTCCCAGTTCTGAGCTTTGATGGATGCTTGAGTCGTCAAGATCCTAAGTGGGAACCCCACCCACTCATCCCAGAAATTGAGGGTGGATAACTGGTGTGAAGCCTGGTTCCATCCTAGGTGAGACCACACTCTTCAACCCGTGAACCCGGAAAGAAACTTTGATAGTTGTTGAAGCAAGAGATGAGTACCCGTTTCACCTGTTGGAGTTTAAGCGCATGAGTTTAAGAAGTCTAGGAAGAGTACGTGGGGTGGTGGGAGAGTGCTCTTAGAAACTGGTTCTGGCAGCTAGGCGGATGCTGCCTGTGGACAGACACCTGCCGCAGAAGCGCGTTTGGGAAACACTGTATCAGGTGCGTGGGGATCCACCCTTTTTCAGGCTCCCACGCCCTTGTTTATCAATCTTCCCCACTGTTGATTGGCTGGCAGAGGTCCCCAAACTGTGAGTCACTCCTGCCCACCAGTCAAGTGTCTGTCTGACTGGCTCAGAGCTGCCTCTGACTGTCTGGCCTTCATTGTGCTTATCCAAGCAGCCTTGAGACTGGGGTGGGCCTGCCCAGGGTGAACGCCAAGATGGACAGTGTGGACCTAGTGCAGGCTGAGAGCCCAACAGGTGTAGTAAGTAAATGGGCTGCTGTTTTCTTTTGTATGGCCACAGGAGATACTGGCTTTTTATTATCTGGGGAAACCAGTGACACCATGACTTTGATAATTGTTAACGATGGCCGTTAATGATGGTCATTAAATACCTCACCGCCGTTTAATAACACTTCATCCTCTCCACACCTTCTCACGTGCTGGCTGCTTCTGCCTGGAGTTCCCTTCTGATTTCCTGGACACCTGGAGAAATCCTACCTGCTTTTTGTTCTTTATTTCTTTTAGTTGTTTGAAATTGATTCATCATCTCAACCCTGGTGAAGTGTGAAGTCTGTTGGCATGTGGGACACTGACACTGCTATGTAAACATCCATCTACAAAATTCCTTTTGGTCTTCCAAAACTGAAACTCCATACTCATTAAAAAAATTAACTTTATTGTACCCCTCCTTCCAGCCCCTGGCAATTGCTCTTCCTTCTGTCTCTATGGATTTCTTTCCTCCAGCTCCCTGGATGTACCCGAGATCGTGTAGTGTTGTCTGTAGTGTGGCTGATGAACTTCATTCAGCACAGTGTCTTTAAGTCTCATCAGTGCTGTAGCATGTGTGAGAATTTCCTTTGGATGGATACATGTGTTGAATATGTGGCTCACATTGTTTCCATCCTTCATCTACTCTTCCCCACCTGAGTGCTTCCACCTTTTGACTGTGTTGAATAATGCTCTCCTGAACGTGGCTGTCCAGCTCTCTGGCTAAGTCCCCACTTTCATTTCTCTGGGGACATGTGCGTAAGCGTGGACTTGCTTGATGCTATGACAATTCCTGTTAGTTTTTTGAGGGCCATCACATCTTTTTCCGTGGCATCTCTGCCCTTGTACATTCTCACCAACAGTGTGTCCTCGCAGCACTTCTGTTTCCCCAGAGATGTTTTTAAGATCATGCTCCTTTTAGAGAATGTGTCTTCCAACATGTCTCTCTGCCCATCAGATAGACAGGCATGGCCCTTCTGGCACTACCACTGTTACCGTTCCATGTTTAGGACCCATCTGTTGGGCCTGGCGTGGTAACCTAGTGGCTAAAGTCCTTGCCTTGCACGCCCCAGGATCCCGAATGGGCACCAGTTCTTCTAATCCAGGTGGCCACACTTCCCATCCAGCTGCATGTGGCCTAGGAAAGCAGTCGAGGATGGTTCCGGGGCCTTGGGTCCCTGCACCCATGCGGGAGACCCAGAAGAATCTCCTGGCTCCAGGTTCCTGGCTTCAGATTGGCTAAGCACTGGCCTTGGTGGCTCCTTGGGGAATAAATCAGTGGATGTAACATCTTTCTCTCTGTCTTTCCTCCTCTCTGTATATTTGACTTTCCAATAAATAAATTAATCTTTTTTAAAAAGAGACGCTTGTGTCCTTTCTAGTCAGCTGTGCTTGCTGCAGACCTGTGTTCCACATGTCCACCTCTTGTCCATCTCATTGTTCGCTTCTCATCTGATACTTCAGAATCCTTGGTACCTGCTGGGCAGCTGGCTCCAATCTTTCCCCGAGCAGCAGCCAGGAGGATGCCATAGAGACTCACTAATCAACTTTGTCACTCTTTTAAGTCAGTTGCTTCCTACTCATACTTGAACCCACTGTGCCATGAAGGATCTGCCTCCAGTGACCTTCCTGACTTTATCCCTTTCCGCTCTTTTTCACTTGCACATTTTTAAAAAAGATTTATTTTATTTCCACTTAAAAGTCATGGTTACAAGGAATGAAAGACAGACAGACACAAACATCTTCTATCTGCTGGTTCACTTCTCAAATGGCTGCAATGACCAGAGCCAAGCCCGTCCGAAGCCTGGAGCCAGGAGCATCGTCCTGGTCTTCTACATGAGTGCAGGGACCCAAGGACTTGTGGTATCCTCTACTGCTTTCCCAGTCCATAATCAGGATGAGAAGTGGAACAACCAGGACCTACATGGAATGCCAGCACCACGGGTAGAGGATTAGCCTTCTACTCCACAGTGCCAGACTCTCACTTGTACATTTCAACCTGGCCTTCCTGCTGTAGATGCATTAAGCTGATTGCTGCCAAGCCGGTGCCTGCCTCAAGCCACTACAATTAGCATCCTTGGGCCTGGGTTGCTTTTCAGTGACTGTCTGCCAGCAGTGTCACCTTTCTGTCTTATTTCAGCCATTGCCCAATGCCACCCTGTTTTATCTCACTCATTTGTCACCCATGACACACTTGGAAAATATTTCATTTATTCCCACCCAACACTGGAAAATGAGCTTTGTGAGGGCAGAGGTTTTTGCTTTAAAGATTTAAGTAGGGCCTGGCGCGGTGGCGCAGTGGTTAAGGTCCTCGCCTTGCATGCCCAGGATCCCATATGGGTGCCAGTTCTAATCCCGGCAGCCCCGCTTCCCTTCCAGCTCCCTGCCTGTGGCCCAGGAAAGCAGTCGAGGATGGCCCAAAGCTTTGGGCTCCTGCACCCGTGTGGGAGACCTGGAAGAGGCTCCTGGCTTCGGATCGGCATAGTATCGGTCGTTGTGCTCACTTGGGAAGTGAATCATCGGACAGAAGATCTTCCTCTCTGTCTTTCCTCTCTGTATATCCACCTTTCCAATAAAAAATAATAAAAATAAATCTTAAAAAAAAAAAAGATTTAAGTAGAGACAGAAAGATCTTCCATCTACTGGGTCACTATTCCCCAAGAGGCCACAATGGCCAGAGCCAGGCCAAAGCCAGAAGCCTGGAGCTCCATCCAGGTCTCACACCTGGGTAGCAAGGGCCCAGGTATTTGGGTCATCTGCTGCTGCCTTCCCAGGTACATCAACAGGGAATTAGGTCAGAACTGGAACAGCTGGTATTTGACCTGTCACCTGCATGGGATGCCAGCACCACAATCAGTGGCCCAACTTGCTACATCACCACGCTGGCCCCAGAGGGCAGAGATTCTGTTCATCTTGTCACAGTTATTGGCTCACAAAGTAGGTAAACAAAGAATGAATGTGTACACACAAATACCTATATTGGTCTTAGATTGTATCTGTATTTTGTGTTGTGCATCTGTCTCGTCCTCTGAATTTCTTAATTCAAGAATTGGATTTTTTTTTTAATCAGAGAAAAAGAAAGAAAAGTCACAAACTTGCATATTCTGATTAAGTTCCTTCAAGTGCCTGCAAGAGCTCCTGGCTAGGGAAGAGTAGCCAGGAATTCAATCCAGATCTCCCGAGCAGAGGTTGGTGATGTAATCACTTCAGTCATCACCAGTGTCTCTGAGGGTCTCCAGATTCAGGACCCAGACAAAGTCTCTAAGATGTGATGCAGGTGTTGCAACTGGTGTCTTAACTACCGTGCTCAACATGGGCTTCTAGATTTTCTTCTTGACAGCTTCATAGCATGATTTCCAACTTTAAGATTTCTTTATTTGAAAGGCAGAGTTGCAGAGGGGAAAGGCAGAGAGAGAAATCTTTCATCTGTTAATTCTCTCCCTAGGTAATAATAACATTTGGGGCTGAAACAAGCCAGAGCGAGGAACCAGGAACTTCTTCCATGAATCACATGTGAATGCAACAGTGCAAAGACTTAGGCAATCCTCTGCTGCTTTCCCAGGCACGTTAACAGGGGACTGGATCAGAAGTGTAGCAACCAGGACTGGAACTGGCGCCCATATGGAATGTTGGCACTGTAGGAGGTGACTCCATGTGCTGTGCCACATCACCAGCCCCAATACTCAAATCTTAGTAAAAGTTTTCAAAAAGCTGCTTGGCAGTTACTGTTGATTGAAAATGTTTTGGTTGAAAATTGCTAGGACATTTTTAAGTATTTGTTGGGGTTTTGCTTGTTATTAGACATGTTTTTGTTTGGAAAAAAGTGGGAGTCTAGGGTAACTTGGTTCTTTTTTTAAAAAAAGATTTATTTATTTTTGTTACAAAATCAGATACACAGAGAGGAGGAGAGACAGAGAGGAAGATCTTCCATCCGATGATTCACTCCCCAAATGACCGCAACAGCTGGTGATGTGCAGATCTGAAGCCGGGAACCAGGAACTTCTTCCAGGTCTCCCACATGGGTGCAGGGTCCCATGGCTTTGGGTCATCCTCAACTGCTTTCCCAGGCCACAGGCAGGGAGCTCAATGGGAAGTGGAGTATCCAGGACACGAACTGGTGCCCACATGGAATCCTGGTGCATGCAAGGCGAGAATTTAGCCACTGGGCCATTACTGCAGGTCCAGAAGCTGGGATTTAAAAATTGAGCACAAGTGTAGTATGTCATTCTGCACTCAGGTCAGTTACTGTCCATATCCTTCTATACAGAAAACTTAGCAAACAAGTATTTAAAAATATGGGCTCATCTAGCCTGACAGATTCTCAAAACCTAGATTCATTCTTCTGAAATTTAAAATTTCAAACGGCTTACTAACTTTGGGAACTGAAACTCACTGTTTTTCATTTCACCTGAAATTATCTATAATAACAAACCTTCTAGGTGATTCTCCTCATTTGAAGTGGTTATTAGACATCTTGATAACTGTTTTTCTGATCATTCTCTTTGCACGGTGCATAAGTGACTGTGTGTCATGGTAGACCCTGTCTGGTATTACCAGTCACTGGTCCCTCTCATCTTTCTTTCTTGGCCTCCTTTTCCAGGGGTGGTGTTTGCACATTATGGTCCCGTCTGGAAACAACAAAGGAAGTTCTCTCACTCAACTCTTCGACATTTTGGCTTAGGCAAGCTTAGCTTGGAGCCCAAGATTATTGAGGAGTTTGAATATGTGAAGGAAGAGATACAGAAGCACGGAGAATCTCCCTTCAATCCTTTCTTCATCATCAGCAGCGCTGTCTCCAACGTCATTTGCTCCTTGTGCTTCGGCCAACGCTTTGACTACACCAACAGTGAGTTTAAGAAAATGCTTGATTTTATGTCACGAGGGTTGGAAATCTGCCTGCACAGGCAGCTTCTCTTGGTCAACATCTGCTCCTGGCTTTATTACCTTCCCTTTGGGCCATTCAAAGAATTAAGACAAATCGTCAATGATATGACCAGTTTCCTTAAGAAAATCATCAAAGATCATCAAGAGTCTTTGGACAGAGAGAACCCTCAAGACTTCATCGACATGTACCTTCTCCACGCAGAAGAGGAGAGGAAAGCTGACAGCAACAGCAGCTTTAATGAAGACTACCTGTTTTATATCATCGGGGATCTCTTCATTGCCGGAACCGATACGACAACAAACTCTCTGCTTTGGTGCCTGCTGCATCTGTCGCTAAACCCGGACGTACAAGGTAATTCTTGGAGCTGGCTTTTGTTTGAGGTTAAATCCAGGTTACTTAAATGAGGGTTCACAACCTCAGAGCCCTCGTGACTCCCAGAACTAAGCCATGTCCTTAGGCTGGACAACAAAATCCCTGCCTTCTCATAGAGAAGGAGGAAGGTGATAATCTTGAAACCCCAATTTGCTGGTCAGCAACGTGATTGCCTGGCCGCTGCAGCAGTCTCTATAGGTCTGTTTATGAACATTAGTGGTAGAATTGGGGGGAGGACGGCATGCTGGTTTCCACTGCTGCTATAATACATTTCCACAGAAATGGATGCTTGTTGCCTGGTGCTACGCTGCCACTTTGGCACCCACATTCCAGAGTGGAGTGCCTGAGATGGAATCCTACCTCCACCTCTGATCCAGCTTCCTGCTATACTAGTGTAACTTGGAGGAAGCATTAGCAGGAAACTGGATACAGGAGCCATGATGGGGACACAGGCTAAGTCGGACCTGGCATCTTCACTGTTAGCCTACTTGCCTGCTTCCCAGAGCAGACTGTGTTACAGTTCCATGTATTACAAGTCTCACACCTGTCTCCCTGGGACTCAGAGTCAAGACAATTACCATGTGTTCCTCTCTGGAGGATTTCTTCTCTTTGTTGGAATACTGACCCATCACCGAGACCCCATCCGTCTGTCCTGCCAACTCCTCAGTTGTATAAGTTGATCCAGTGTGCCTAAGAGGGCTGCTTAACTCTCTTGCAGACTATTCCAGTTTGTTCTTTCATTTTTGTACAGAAAAAGTTTATGAAGAAATCAAAAGGGTCATTGGTCCTGATCGAGCACCTTCTCTCACGGACAAGGCCCAGATGCCCTACACAGAAGCCACCATCATGGAGGTGCAGAGGCTGACGGCGGTGGTGCCATTCTCCATCCCCCACATGACCTCCGAGAAGACAGGTGAGTCTACAGCCTTCCTCCCTGGCATTCCCTTGAGGAGGGCCCAGTGCCCAAAGCCCTAGGCAGTGGGGGGAAAGTGTCTGGTCACAGTTTGAGTAGTGTGTCACTTGCACGTGGTTAGTTGGATTGGCACTCCAGCACAGCTCGGTTTTAGTAAGCCTTTGATAACTTTCAGAGGTGACATGCTTACCTGTGACAAGACTGTTAGTGTCCCAGGGTAAACCGACTGTGTTGGCAGAAAAACTCCAGAGTTAGACAAATGGCTTTGCTTTCCTCTTCACAGAAGTGAGAAGAGCTTATCTAAATGTCACGATGAGGATTGTAGTTGGAAATTCTACTTCAGTTTTTTTTTTTTAATTCTGTAAGCTAAGCAGAGATATTAAAGAATTAGAAATAGCCCATCTGATTCCAGAATCACCTAGAGTGGAACCTGTCCATTTGGTGGTGTCCACAGTCAATTATTCCTACTAATATGGAATTTATCTTCTCTCAAGACCACCCATAAGGTCATGGACTTCAATCTAGATGTAAGAAAGTTGCTTTGACTTGACACTGCGTTACTGGATCACTTTTTGTTATAGATAACAATAATGCTAGAAGATAATGTGTCCAGGATCTTTTGAGCACCGTCTAAAGTGTATGTTGACTTGTTGGCTAGTAACAACCAAGGTTGACAACATTCCTGCACTTCCCTTTATATTAGTTTGCTCCTTTGATATGTTATTGTGAACATGATAAACAATTGGGTTAAACACATGTTAGGAATTTGTAATTCATAGAGAATGTTTATTTAGAATATCCTGCTATTTCTATTTCAGTGCTTTCGTTGTAGTGCTTTTAAGGTTTGACTTCCTACATCAACCCAAGAATCATCAGAGCAGCTCCAGGTTGGGTCCTGGGATGGGATGGGATGTGATGAGAAGGTGCCATTTGATATGTTCTTTGACTTTAAAGTTTAGCCTCACTCAACTTAAGATAGTAGGTCTAGATGAGATGTTCCTGTCAGCGGTGTTTAAGGAGAGCTATGGGTAAAAGCATGTTGAGTGATGCTATGTTTCTCCGTTTGCTTGGTTGCCAGTGCTCCGCGGGTACAACATTCCGAAAGGCACGGTGGTTATCCCCAACCTGTGGTCTGTACACAGAGATCCAGCCATTTGGGAAAAGCCAGATGATTTCTATCCTGATCGGTTTCTGGATGACCAAGGACAACTTATTAAAAAAGAGACCTTTATTCCTTTTGGGATAGGTTGGTTACACTTTTGTTTATTTATTTATTTTATGGCATAACCTTTGTTTTTTTTTTTAACGTAAAGAATCTTTTGTTATTTCATGTTGTTGACTTTAAAATGTTTCTTTCTTGGCAAACTATTGAAAGAGAGAAGTCATTTAGGCAGGACGTCTCCACTATGCTCATTTCAGATTGAAAAGAAGAAAATAAAAGTAATGGCCTTTTAAATCCTTAAATATGACTTAGAACATCTGCTCTCGGAACTGTCCACGTGCTGGTTTGGGTTCCGGAGAACTGACTGTTGAGGAGCACCTTCTGGCCTCTGCTGAGATGGCGGATAGCAGGGTTGGGGGGTTCTCTAAGCCCCCACTTATAGACTCTTAGATTAGGGCACATGGGATCCTTTCTATGGAAAAAGAAGGCTTTGAATATTCAGAGTTGGCTTTTCCCCTTTAGTCTTCTAGCCAAGAGTAAGGGAAAGTGGTCAAAAGGCTTAGAAGTGATGGCATAACTGCCACTTTAGCTTTGCGCTTAGTTCCTATGATAAGTTATATTCTTTTTTTAAAGATTTATTAATTTTCATTGGACAGTCAGATATACAGAGAGGAGGAGAAACAGAGAGAAAGATCTTCCATCTGCTGATTCATTCTCCAAGTGGTTACAACAGTCAGAGCTGAGCTGATCCAAAGCCAGGAGCCTGGAGCCTCTCCCGGGTCTTCCACGCGGGTCCAGGATCCCAAGGCTTTGGGCTGTCCTCGACTGCTTTCCCATGCCATAAGCAGGGAGCTGGATGGGAAACCTCACCGCTGGGACATGAACTGGTGCCCATATGGGATCCTGGGGCATGCAAGGTGAGGAGGTGAGGACTTCAGCCACTAGGCTACTGTGCTTTGCCTAGTGAGTTAGACCCTTATGTGTAGAAGTTGCAATGTAGGTAAAATTTTAATCAGTATATCCTGTGGAAGTCTGTGAGAAATACATTGCAATTTTATTTTAAAACTATCTGCATTCAAAACAGTTTAGATATTTCAGATAAATTGTGCTGTTGAAATAAGAAAAGGAATGGGATCATAGATGTTTTCTTCTAATCTCATTTTAGGGAAGCGGGTGTGTATGGGAGAGCAACTGGCCAAGATGGAATTATTCCTCATGTTTGTGAGCCTGATGCAAACTTTTAAATTTACTCTACCGAAGGACTCTCAAAAACCCCTCCTGACCGGAAGATTTGGTCTAACCTTAGCCCCGCATCCGTTTAATATCATCGTTTCCAAGAGATGAAGAGTGTCTCCAGGAAGAGCTGGTAAACAGATATGTATATTTGCATCCTTCTCAAAAGATTCTTCCTTCTGCATCTGACATTGGATCCAGCACCTGCATGGATCCTGGTTGGACTCAGATCAGAGAGAGATGGGAAAGAGCGTTGTGCCTGGGGGAGCTCCTGTCTTGGAGGATCCCTCAGCAGGCTACTTCAGCCAGGTTGGTTGTGCAGAATACCAACTTGGAAAGCCAAAGTTTGGGATCTTTAGCTCCTGCATCTTCTGCCAGTGAGCATCTCTCCTCATTTCTCGGTGCCTCAGTCATCCCCTGTTACACTGAAGGTATCAAACTAGCTCTCTCTCTCTACCTCTCAGCATTAAGGAAGCTCCAATGCCTCGTATCTTCTCCAACAGCGTCAAAATTTTAAACAGGAATAGAAGAGTGCCCTACTGCACTGCTGACACCTGGGACAAAATAAAAGTGGGCTTTAGCCTGGAACACTTGGTCAAAGAGGGATGTAGGTTTAGATTAGGTTGAGGTAGGACTTTTCATTTTAGCACACATGTCAGTTTCTTCCATTTGTTCTGTGATGATTCTCTTTTTCATTTCTGACTTGAGTGTTTACTCCTTGTAGACATGGGATGAAGTGGATCCTTACCCAGGATAGTGAGGAAAATGAGAAAATAGCATTTTTTAAAAAACCTGTGATGATGTCTTGTGCATTTATAACCCTACCTTTGTCCTCAGCTACATGGACAGATCATGAACCAGATCAGGCAAGGAAGGGACCTCATGATCAAATTCCGTGCTTCTGTGCTCACTTGCCCAGATGCAGCTTGGCCTTGGGAGCTGAGCCCTGGGCGGTAAGCCTGGGCAGTCTCATCCTGGAAATTGTAAGGAAAAGGATCATCTTCTGGTCTACACTAACATTCCTTTCCCATGTTCCGCTCCAACAGACAAAATGAACCCAAGGCTTGAATTCTCTCTAAGATATGAAAACCTTCTTAGTCTCTCTGCTAAGAGAATTAAACTGCTTCTTCATGAATAACACACCTTTGGAACGAACAGTTCTCAACCAGGGTTCTAATCCCCTTTAGGGACTGTTTAAAACCATACTCATGCATTTGGGAGTGCCACTGACTGCCAGGAGCCAGAGTGCGGCATGTCACAGAGTTCTGATAAAACCAAGAACCACACTGCACCACCGCATCTCAGTGTTGCCCTGGGAGAGCACCTGCTTTAAACACCACTGCCCTCCTCACACCACCTTGTGCTCCTGGGATAGTCGATATATGCGTGATTGTAGTAATCATGAGAGCCAACCTATTTTTTGAGTCTTCCCTCATCTTGGCACCCCACTTAGTGTGGTGATTATGGCCTTAAGTAATTGCACAGTTTATTGAGGGTGCCATTTTACAGCTGATGGCACTGAGGCCCAGGGAAGGGAAGTCACACAGTTCTTCCCTCCTGCTCTGTGTGACAGGACAGCACTTTGTGATCCATGTCATAGTTCCACCATCATTCAATTCTGCAGCCATCTTCCCCCTCCCCCACCTGCCCATGCCATGCCATGCTGTAGCTGTGCTTGCCCATCTTCCTCCCAGCCTGAGCCCCTGGGAGGAGGGTGCTGTGCTGCTCCCTCATAGCCTTGCTCTTAGTGGACACCCAGGCAACACGTGAGTGACTTCTAAAGAACGTGCTGTTGGGGAAAATCCTCCCCACCATGTGAATAACTCCACACTGTATTTTTATTGAAGGGAATATAAAAAATACAGTGTGTGTTATTTGTTGATGCGAATTAAAACCAGTTTTAAAAGCTAGACTTTTGTTCATGGTTTCAAACAACCATTTGATGACACCTGTATATATTTTATTGGAGCAGCAGACAGAACTCTCTTCTGCTGGTTCTATCCTCAAAGACCTGGGATCTCAATCCAGCTCTTCTGTGTGGGTGGCAGGGACCCTAGACCTTGACCCAGCACCTGCTGCTTCCCAGAGTGTGTCTCCATGGAAAGTCGGAGTGCCAGGCTGGGCTGGGACTCCAGTGCACACACTCAGATATGGGATGCAGGCATCTCAGATGGTATCTCAACCACTGTGCCAAATGCCCACCCTCTAACAGCATTTGAAATGAACTCACAATAATGCCTTATTTGTTTAAATATGGGTAGAATACAAAATATCAGCTTCTAGCACAGGAGAAGAAGCCACATCGCCAGAGGGAAGCAGTTGCAGCAATGCCCCTAATCCTCAGGGAGATTTTCCAGGAGCCCCAGTGGATGCCTGCAGCTGCAGGGTACTGCATCATCTCTCTGTTTATACCATGTTCACTCCCTGTGACACATATGTAGGGTAAAAGTTAATATTAGACAGAGTAAAAGTTTAACAACAATCATGAAACAATTGCAACCATAGACTATAATAGTATTATTGCCAGCACCACTGGCACTAAACCAAATGGGAGTTACTTTGAACACATGCAGTGTGATACCTGACAGTAATTTGGTAACCGATGTAGTTACTATGAGAATGCGTGTGTCTACGGCCATACCACCCTGAACGCGCCCGATCTCGTCTGATCTCGGAAGCTAAGCAGGGTCGGGCCTGGTTAGTACTTGGATGGGAGAATGCGTGATGAGTAGCATATACAATGTAGATGCCTCAGACAAAGGGCTGATGCACATCCTGGGAGGGATGGCAAGGGGTTCATTCACACTTCTCTGAACAGTGTGCACTTCCAAATGTATGATTTGTTTGATTCTGGAATATTCCATTGAATAATCTAAGTGCAGCCCAGACTGAGCGTCTTTGAAACCACAGAGAGCAAAACCAGGATTGTGGGCACTGCTGTGCTGCTGTTCCTGTGTGTGAAGACCAGGGTGTGAATAGCACCTTGCATGGCAGATTCCTGCAGAATTCAATGGAGGCGAAACTCTGACGTTGACTGTGTCGTCTACGGCCATACCACCCTGAACGCACCTGATCTCGGACTCGTTCACTTAGAAAGGGCTCCGATGACAGATGATCCTTCCTAGCTGTGACATGCAGACCAGCACACATAGCAAACCTCCTCATCGTCTGACATCTTCATCTGTCTTTAGGCACACTAGGGAGTTAGGTCTTCCTATGCTACAAACAGAAGCCCTGGGGCCTGGCTGACAGCAGAGCCAAACACAGTCTTCACTATGACATGTTCTAGGCACTTCCATGTGCTCAAGGAATGCCAATGATACCTGCCTCATAGAAACATGAGACAAAGACAAACACAGGACATTGTAGAAGCACGTACCAGTTGGTTTCCACTCTGCTTCCCTTGAATCAGCTGTTCTTCTCTCTCTCTGTAACTGAGATTAAGCACTTTCAAAGTAGATAGAGAAAATACAGGCTAACATTGAAGTGGGTACCTTGAGGCCTTTAATTTTCCTACAGAAGCAAAATGAAGGCGATAAATGCAGAGTGAGCAAATGAAAGGGGAGGCTGGGGAGCAGTGCAGGCTTCAGAGGGGCACATGTGTGGGCTACTCTGCATCCCAGGCGAGACCGCTTAGCTCTGCCTGAAAATCCTTCTGCTTTTCACTTACAGTAATAAATCAGCATTATCAAGGCTATTATTCCTCAATTTGTATGTGCGTTTGCATCATTCCTAACCAAGGAGTTTATTCTTGATTAAAAGAAGTTTCTGCTTTCTGGGAGGCCATGTTGAAATCAGAAGTTCATGAAACCTATAAACGCAATGGCTCTAACTTTTGTACTTGAAAATAAATCCGTAGTAAATCACCGAAAGGCCTGTTCATGTGTTTCTTACACATGTCATGTTGGTATTTTATGATTTTGCTTTATTTGCAATGTTATGATAATGCCTTATTTGAAATGTAAAAATAATATTTATGTTGACTTACAAATCTTCCTAACCTCCAAATCTTAGTCCTCATCTTTTGTAGTTTGGGGTGGTTGAATTAAACTTTAATTGCAACACTGCTGTCCTCAGAGTTTTTTGTTTTATGTATTTTTTCTTTGCTAAGCAACATTTTGTTTTACCAAATGCAAACTTGGGTAGATGGATATACTATAGCAAAGCATTAGGTCTCTTGAAGGAGCCTAGGGAAAGGGACCCCAAAATATGGAACCTTGGGCTGTGATTAAAATGTAGACCCTGGGGAGCCCAGTGTGGTAGCCTAGTGGCTAAAGTCCTCGTCTTGCATGCGCCAAGATCCCATATGGACACTGGTTCTAATACTGGCTGCCCTGTTTCCCATCCAGCTCCCTGCTTGTGACCTGGGAAACCAGTTGAGAATGGCCCAAAACCTTGGGACCTTGTACCCACGTGGGAGACCCAGAAGAGGCTCCAGGCCCCTGCCATTGGATAGGAGCTCAACTCCAGGCATTCCCGTCACTTGGGGAGTGAATCATTGCACAGATCTTTCTGTTTCTCCTCCTCTTTGCAATAAAAAAAAAATCTTAAAAAAACAAAACAAAACAAAACATGTAGATCCTGGGGCTTGACAAAAGCCGGAGGAGGTTATTCTGAGGTTGTCAGTCATTTAAATATTAGATCTGCCAAAGTGGCACATGGTGGCTTTCGGTCTTCTTACTGAAGTGTCATCAGCTAAGGAATATGAAATAGGGGCCCAGCGTGATGGCTCAGTGGCCGAATCCTCACCTTGAAACTACTGAGATCCCATATGGACACCAGTTCATGTCCTGGCTGCTCCACTTCCCACCCAGCTCCCTGCTTGTGGCCTGGGAAGGCATGAGAAGATTGCCCAAAGCCTTGGGACCCTGCACCTGTGTGGGAAACTCAAAAGCAGCTCTGGTTGAGGATCAAATCAGCCCTGGCCATTGTGGCCACTCGGGGAGTGAAACAGTGGATGGAAGATCTTTCTGTCTCTCCTTCTCTCCAACTTTCAAAAAAAATAATAATAAATAAATCTCTTTCAAAAAAAAAAAAAGAAAAAGGAATATGAAACTTGTATGTCAGAGAAAGCGACTGAAAATTGCACACTAGTTAGTCCCTTCTCTGTTCTTTGGACCCATTCATTCCCATGAAATTCATGGACCAATCCCCCTGACTTGCTGGCCCGCGGAGGAGTCAGCCACTAAGGCTGCCAGGACTCTTGGGCACTGGGCTTCCTGTGGTGCCCGTTCCGTGTATACTCTCCTGTTAGTCTGCCATGGCTGGCTCGTTTCTGCAGATTTAAAGGCTCAAACCGTGAGAGGGGCTGCGGGTGGGATACTCCTCTTGCCCTGCGTGCACTCTATTTCCCCCAGCTCAGGTCCAGGGAGACTTGGCGTTCCTGAGTGCTTCACTGCCAGAGGGCAACCACCTGTCGCACCTTCAAAAAGGCCACTCTTCGTCCTGCAGGTTACATCTCAGAGACGCTCTGTTCAAAGCACTTGCAGGATATCGCTATCTAACCTGACCTTGACAGAACCCCCCTGTCCCAGTCTGCTAGTGTCTTGCTCCAGAGCACCCCTCACCAGCCGAGGGAAGTCCGGGGCTTTAGCAGCCCTGAGATCAGGGACTGATAGCACCCACCACCTGCCTGGAGCAGGTGCACCACAGAGTAGACATTTTGTACACACGCTGGGCAAATGGAGAACGGAGGGCACTGGAAGGAGGATGCCTGCCGGATCTCAAGGAAGCTAGCAAGCGGCTCAGGTGAACCCACCAGCCACTGCTTTATGTCATCTGCCCCCCATCATTGAGACTGTGACCCTAGAAGATGAGTTTTCTGTTGAAAACAGCCAAATGATGTTGTCATCATTTGGCCCCTTCGAATCTGCCTCAGTCTGGCTGCACTGGTTTTAGAAACCAAACTCATCTAGCAGAGATATTAACTCAAAAGCCAGTAGATTTGGTTTTCTAAGCTCAATGGCTAATCTTACTGTCCTGTAATGATTAAAACGGTAGTTAATATTCCTACCCATTGTATCTTTGGATCAGGATTTAAAGATTTGGTCAGTTTTCATCAAGGAAAGGTTAATTAAGCAAGGTACGGCGGACATTAAATTTCACCTTCTTCAAGGATTCTGTGTCCAAGATTCCTGTTTGGAGAGAGAGTGTTGCTTGCCAGACAGCCTGTGGATTTTGCACCCAAGGTAAATCAGATGTATTGAACAGATCTTCCGAAGGCGTGCATCTGTAGGAAATGCCTGCCCGGGTGATCTCCTACGATCTTGCTGAGTTCACTCTCAGTATTGTCTGATAATACAGTTTTGTAAATACTTACAAGGCCCCATTGAGCATTCAGACCTTCTCATTCTTTTTCTTCTTCATGATACAATTCCAGAAGCTCAGGGATTTCCCCTTGCACTAGCCCCCAATTACTCTTCCCCCACTGAATTCCCCCGTACTATAACACTAGCATAGTTCTTCAGCAATAGCCACAAATCCATCAATTATTTATTTATTTAACACTCTCTCATTCTTAAAGAAATCCTCTCCAGAAATGAAATTTGTTTTTTTTTAAATGTACATATTTGAAAGGCAAAGCAACAGAGAGAGAGTCTTCCATCTGTTAGTTTATTCTCTAAACTCCCATAAGAGCCAGCCCTAGGCCAAGCCATCCTGGTCTCTTCTGTGGGAGGCAGGGGCCAAGGTACTCCAGCCATCATCTGCGGCCTTCGCAGGGATCAGAAGCGGAAAGGCTGGTGCTTGAACTGGTACTCCAACATGGGATGTTGTGTTCCCAACAGACAGCTTAACTTGCAGTGCCACAACACCGCCCCCTAATTTGATTTTTATGCATTATTTTGCTCTACAGCGTCTAGGATTTTAAACTAGGATTGTAGACATGCATGCCAGTGTCTACAGCAAATGAGTGTTCAGGCCTCATAATTCTCAATTGAGTAGGATTCCAGCTTATCAT